TAGCAATGGATATATTGAATAGACTTTAAAACAAAGGATGTATATAACAGTTAACAAAGAATGACATTTTGTAACGATAAAGGGATCAATTGAAGAAGAGGATATAACCCTCTGTAACCTTTCTGTAACCAAAATAGTAGCATCTAAATAAATAAAGCAAATATTGAGACAAAGGGAGAGGTCAACAATAATATAGTCATAGTCGGGGACTTAACCACCCCAGTGACATTAATAGATAGATCATTCAGACAGAAAATCATAAAGGCAATATGATAAATTAGACCATATGAATTTTATTGATATTTTAAAACATTTCACTCCAAAAGCAGCACAATTTATATTCTTTTCAAGCACACATAGAACATTTTCTATAGTAGATAACATGTTAGGCCACAAAACAAGTCTCAATTAATTTAAAAAGGCTGAAACCATTCCAAGCATCTCTGGTATCACAGTGTTTTGATAAGAGAAATCAGTTACAAAAAGGAAACTGAAAAAATGCACAAAACTTAGAAGCTAAATATCACCACACAGAACAATCACTGGGTTAACAAAAAAATTGAGGAAGACATAAAGCAGTATATTAAGAGGAATGATAACGAAAATACAACAAACCAAATAAATCTATAGGCCACAGATAGTAGTTCTAAATGAGAAAATCATAGCAATACCGAACTGTCTCAAGACAAAAAAAATCTCAAAAATTTAACCTTACACCTAAAAGAACTAAACAGAATACCATAAACAAAAGCCAAAGTGAATAGAAGGAATAAAATAACAGAGATCAGAGCAGAAATAAACTTGTCCAAAAACATAACACAATACAGCAGTGAAATCAACAGCTGGTTCTTTGAAAAGATAAACAAGTTGATAATACTTTCATCAGAGTCATGAAAAAGTATGAGGACCCAAAGAAATAAAATTAGAAATGAAATAGAAGAAATAACAACTGACACCAAAGAAATACAAAGGGTTATAAGAAAATACTATAAATATGTCTACATATTCAACAACCTGGAAGAATTAGTTAAATTTCCAGACACACAATCTTCCAAGACAGAAGGAAGAACAACCAGATAATCTAAATAGACTGATTATGATCAATGAAATCAAAGCAGTAATTAAAAAACTTCCAATAAAAGCCCTGAATAAGTAAAATAAAACTTTTTTCAGAAAAAATTTAACACCTGTTCTCCTCAAATTATTCAAAGTTAAAGAAGGCTCCAAAGCTCAGTTTCCAAGGCTAGCATTTCCCTGATTTCAGAATCATATAAAGACATTGGAAAAATAGAAAATTATAGACCATTATCCCTGATGAAAATAGATACAAAAAGTTTCAACAAAATATTTGCAAGCCAAATTCAGCCAAACATTAAAAAGATCATACTCCATGATCAAGTGGGATTTATTTCTCAGATTCAAGGATGGTTCAATATCCACATGTCAATTAATGTTATACACTACATCAGTGTTTCCCAAACTTTTGACATATGTGTACCCCTTCTTCGTAACGCTAAGTACCCCTCGTACTCATGAGAATATAGAATTAGGCAGAGCTAAGCACGGTGCAGTGCATACCCCCACCAAACTCCGGTGCAACACGTACCCCCACCAACTCTTCCCGTACTCCTAGGGGTACGCGTACCACACTTTGGGAAACACTGCACTGCATAAATAAAATGAAGAATAAAAACCACATGATCATATAAATAGATGCAGAAAAAGATGTGACAAAATCCATTATTCATTTATGACAAAAATGTTTAGCAAAGTGGGAATAGAGAAAAGATACCTCAACATAATTAAGGCCATACATGACAAACCCATAGGTAACAACATACTCAACAAGGAAGACATAAAGCAGCTTTTCTTATGATTAGGAACAAAAAAATGTTGTCCACTTTCACCCCTTCTATTTAACAGTAGAGGCCCGGTGCATGAAAATTCATGCATTTGAGGGGGGGGGGTCCCCTCAGCCCAGTTTGCCCCCTTTCACAGAAGAGGAGCCCTTAGGGGCGGAGGTGACCTGGTGATCAGGGGAAGGCGATGCCCCATCACGCATCTGCTGATGCTACTGCTGGCACACATACCTCACCCAGCCCTGGTTACCTGAGCTCAGGCAGCCCTGGGCAGCTGGGCAGCTGCTATCTGAGGCTTGTCTGTGCCTCAGGCCAGCCCTGGGCAGCTGGGGGTACTAAGGGGACTGGGGGACACCGGATGCAGGTGCACAGAGTGCCTGCTGCCTCAGGAAGGTTAAGGGGAGTGGATGCCAATATTCTGTGGCAGAGGATACCACCATTTTGAGGGCATGGCAGTCAATTAGCATATTCCCTCCTTATTGGCTGTGGGCGCTGCCATCTTTGAGGGTGGGGCAGTCGATTAGCATATTCCCTCCTTATTGGCTGTGGGAGTCACCATTTTCGAGGGCGTGACAGTCAATTAGCATATTCCCTCCTTATTGGCTGTATTTGCGATGGTGTGAGGATCACTTAGCATATTCCTTCTTTATTAGGATAGTATTGGAAGTCCTAGCCATAGCAATCAGACAAGGAAAATAAATAAAAGGTACCCAAATTGGAAAATGAAATGTAAAGTTGTCATAATTTGCAGGTGATATGATATTCTATGTACAGAATCCTAAAGATTGCAACAAAAAAGTATTAGAACTGATAAATGAATTCAGCAGAATAGTATGATACAAAATTAATATTCAGAAGTTGGTTGCATTTTTATAGTCCATTAATGAACTATCAGAAAGCCAAAGGAAGAAAACAATCCTATTTACAATTGAGTCAAAAAATAAAATACCTATGAATAAATTTAATCAAGAAAATAAAAGACCTGAACTTGAAAACTATATGACATTGAAGAAAGTAAAGAAAATACAAATAAATGGAAGCCTGTACTGTGCTCATGAATAGGAAGAGTTAACATCATTAAAATATTCATACAACCCAAAGCAATCTATAGATTCAATGCAATTCCTATCAAAATACCAATAGCATTTATCACAGAACTATAGCCTAAATAATTCTAAAATTTATATGGAACCACAAAGGCCCCTGAATAGCCAAAGCAATCTTGAGAAAGAAAAACAAAATTGGGGTATCATGCTACTTGATATCAAACTACATTAAAAGGCTATGGTCATCAAGACAGCATCATCTATAATAACCTGTAATAATAAAAGCATAATATGCTAATTATACCAGACGTCCTTCCAGATGTCCTTCCTTCTGGACAAAGCTGTAGCAGGTGAGGGCCAAGACAGAGGAGGGAGAGGCCCCAGCTGTGGCAGCGGTGGGCGGGGGCCACAGCTGAGGCAGAGGCAGCCCCCGCGGTGGTGGAGGCCAAGGCCCTTGCACAAATTTCATGCATTGGGCTTCTAGTATTGGCATAAAAACAGACACATAGATCAGTAGAGTATCCAGAAATAAATCCAAGCATATATGGTCAATTAATCTATGACAAATTAGACAAGAATTCACAATAGGATAAAGACAGTCTCTTCAACAAATGATGTTGACAACATTGGGCAGACACATGTAAAAAATAAAACACCACCACTTTTTTACACCACATACAAAAATAAACTCAAAATAGATTAAAGACTTAAATGTGAAACTTGAAACCATAAGACTCCTAGAAAAAAACATAGGCAGTAGACTCTTTGACATAACTCTCAGTAATGTCTTTTTCAGTATATCTTCTCAAGGAAGGAAAACAAAAGAAAAATTAAACTAATGATACCACATCAAGCTAAAAAGTTTTTGCACAGAGGAAAAAAATAAAATAAAATGAAAAAGACAACCTATTGAATGGAAGAAGATATTTGCCAATGATACATCCAACAAGGGGTTAATATTCAAATTTTATAAAGAACACAATTTAACATAAAAAAAAAATCACAAAAAATCCAATTAAAAATTTTATTGAGGACCTGAATAGACATTTCTCCAATGAGAACATGAAAAGATGTTCAGCATCACTAATCATCAGAGAAATGCACATTAAAATCACAATGAGATGTCACCACAAACCTGTCAGAATGACTACCATCAAGAAATCAACAAATAACAAGGGTTAATAAGGATGTGGAGAAAAGGGAACCTTAATGCCCGATTAGTGCAATTGTAAATTGGTGCGGCAACTATGGAAAACAGTATAGAGGTTCCTATAAAAATTAAAAAAGGAATTACTATATGACTCAGCAATGCCATTTCTGGTTATTTATTAGAAGAAATCCAAAACACTAATTCAAAAAGACAGATGCACCTCTATATTCATTGTAGCATTATTTACAATAGCCAAGATATCAAAGCAACCAAGTGTCCAGATAGACAAATGGATAAAGAAGATGTGGTAATATATACTATGAAATACTATTCAGCCATAAAAATGAATTAAACCTTACCATCTGTGACAGTATGGATGGACCTAGAGGGTACTATGCTAAGTAAAATATGTCACAAAGATAAAGGCAAATACCATATGATTTCTCTTATATGTAGAGTCTAAAACACAAAATAAACAAACCAGCGAAACAGAAACAAACTCATAGATACAGAGAACATTTTGTCATCAGATGAGGGAGTGTTGTGGGTATAAGTGAAAAAGGGGAAGGCATTAAGAAATACAAATTGGCAATTATAAAAATAGTTTTGAGGATGTAAAGTACAGCATAGGTAATATAGTGTCAGATGAGTACTAGACTTTTGGGGATATTTTGTAAGGTATATAAATCTCTAATCACTATGATGTATATCTAAATTAACATTATATTTCAACTGTAACTAAAATTTTTAAAAAACCTTAAAATAGGTAAATAAATCTCTGCCAATGGCAAAAATAAGTTTATATATAGCACATGTCAAATATTCCTATAAGAAGCATAAAACCATTATCAGCAAGGCAAAATAATAATAATAATAATAATAATAATAATAATAATAATATTCCTATGTTTCTGGATGCCTACTGGGATCTTATTCTGCACTTACCTCTCTATGTACTCTGCAAGAAGTTGTTCTGTGGCAGATGAATACATCCACTCATTTCCAATTTTCTTAGTATATCCTGGTACCTCCTCATTTTTTTTGTTGAACTTGAGATTCAAACCCACATTTGCTTTATGGTCTCCATGAGGGCTGAATTTAAACCACACAAACACACACACGCATATTTTAAAATTTTGTTGGAAGAAAAAAAGTTTGTTTTCAATTCTTAGAAAAAGTCAGTTTTAATTGTTCTATATTTTAGTTATCGTGGTTATTTCTGAAGTAGCAGTAATTGAAAAAAGTAGAGGAAAGGCTTTAAAATCCAAGTTAAGAAAGCATAACAGTTAACAAAGATTATATAATTAGAGAGGAAGAATGATATAAGAAAATACAGGGAAATATACTATTGAGATTCACACACACCTTGATACCTTTTTTCAAGGTCCAACATACTAACTGCTAAAAATAACAACTATTGTTTCAACCACCTATAACGTGCCATTTAGAGAAAATGTCACCATCAGAGAAATTTATGCATAAATTTTAAGGAAAAGTCAGAGAAAAAGTATACTATATAAAATATTGACCATTTTATCTTTATCATTCAATTTTTTCTGCCACTTTTAAGTAAATTTCTTTAACATAAACTTACTTTCTCCTAGATCCTCTTCCAATAAAAATACTTCCTGTAAACCTTGAAACAAGGTATCCACTCACTCCAAGGCGACTGGCCAACACATATCCTGGGTTGTACTTTATAGAATATTTCTTTTAATATAAAAACAAAAAGGACAATTATAGAAACAAAGTATTAAATGTCATTTCTTTATGTTTAAAATTTGGAGAAAACTAAAACAAGACTAACCATTGGATTGTGGCTATGTAAGAATTCTCAAAAGTAAATGATCATTCTGCTATCCTCTTTTTTAAAAGGATCTGTAAGCAGAATCTTTCTGCACCTTCCCTTCTTTAAAGGATTGAATTTCCAAGGACAGGTGAAAGGGACAGGTGAGATGTCTCAAGAAATAAACTCAACGGTAAGTAATAATGGCAAACAATGCAGGCAAGAATTAAATGCTTAAAATAAATTTTCATATACTAAGTAGGGCTTAGTAAAGTACCTGGGAGAAAATATACATGAGTCATATAAATGTTTTATACTCATATGCTTTATTTTATATGAATACTAGAGGCCTGGTGCATGAAATTCGTGCACTTGGGGGGGGGGGGTGTTCCTCAGCCCAGCCTGTACCCTCTCCAATCTGGGACATACCTCTCACAATTTGGACTGCTGGCTCCCAACTGCTCACCTGCCTGCCTGGCTGCCTGATTACCCCAAACATCTCTCCTGCCAGCCTGATCGACGCCCAACTGCTCTCCTGCAGGCCCAATTGCCCTCCCATATTGGCCTGGTCACCCCCAACTACCCTCCCCTGCCATCCCGGTCAGCCCTACTGACTCCCCTGACAGCCTGGTAGCCCCTAACTGTACTCCCCTGCAGGCCTGGTCCCCCCCAACTGCCTAACCCTGCTGGACTGATTGCCCCCAACTGCCCTCCCCTGCCAGTCTGGTAGCCCCTAACTGCCCTCTGCTGCCTGCCTGGTTGCACTCAATTGTCCTCCCTGAAGGCCTGGTCCCCACAAACTGCCCACCCTCCTCTGCATGCCTGGTCGCCTCCAACTGCCCTCCCCTGCCAGCCTGGTTGCCACCAACTGCCTTCTCCTGCTGGCCTGATTACCCACAACTACCCTCCCCCGCTGGCCATCTTGTGATCACCTGGGGATGGCCATCTTGTGGGAGGGTGTGAAGGTCAGTTATTTTATCACCAATAAATGCAAAATTTCCAGAGAGTGAAAGGTAAGCAATTAATTCAGCCACCGTTATTTTTTAATGATCATGTCTATAATCACTCCTAAGTGGATAAAGATTTTTAGTGTCCTGGAATATAAAGTTACCATTAATAGGCTAGTAAAGAATATGACACAATTTTGCCATTAAGAACCTTATCAGATTTAGAAATAATACAGACAAATTAAGTATGCTTCCCAGAATAGATACCATGTTTCCCCGAAAATAAGACATCCTCCGAAAATAAGACCTAGTGCATGGAAAGATAAGACATCCCCTGAAAATAAGACCTAGTGCAACTTCGGGAGAAAAATTTAATATAAGACACTTATTTTTTGGGAAACAGGATAATAAAAATTAAGGTAATAGTTCTCTATCACAGGTAATTATCACTTTTTTAATAAGCATCTGGAAATATGTAGGGGCACATCATTTTACAATGTCCTGGCTGGTGTTGCTCAGTGGATAGAGCATTGGCCCATGCACCAAAAGATGACGGGTTCAATTCCCTGTTAAGGGCATATACCTGGGTTGTATGTTCAATCTCCGGCCCCAATCAGGGTACATGATGAAGGCAACCAACTGATGTGTCTCTCTCACATTGATGTTTCTTTCCTTTACTCTCTATCTCTCTCCCTCTCGACTCATTCCTTTCCACTATCTCTAAAAATCAATGGAAAAATATCCTAGGGTCAGGAAAAAAATAATAACAAAAGGCACCTGCTACTACTACTCAGTGTTTATGGGCTAAGAATGCCAACTGTCCTACCAGATAAAGAACATAACTGTCTTGCTCAAAATACCAATAGTACTCCTTTTGAGAAATATTGGGTTATAGTATAATTAAAATTATCAAAGTCAGCCGAAACCGGTTTGGCTCAGTGGTAGAGCGTCGGTCTGAAGGGTCCTGGGTTTGATTCCGTTCCAGGGCATGTACACTGCTTGCAGGCACAACCACAGTAGGGGGTGTGCAGGAGGCAGCTGATTGATGTTTTTCTCTCATCGACGTTTCTAGCTCTCTCTCTCTCTCTCTCTCCCTTCCTCTCTGTAAAAAATCAATAAAATATATTTAAAAAAATTTATTAAAGTCACACAAACAGCCCTGGCTGATTTGTCTCAGTGAACAGAGTGTCAGCCTGCATTCTAAAGGAACCCAGGATCAAGTATGGTCAAGGGCACATATCCCAATAGAGGCTGTGCAGGAGCAGCCAATCAATAATTCACTGTCTCTATCTCTCCCTCCATCTTCCTCTCTGAAATCAATTTTTGAAAAATCACACAAACATCCTAGAAATTATAAAATAAATAGGTGAGAATGTTAGGAAAGAGAAAGAAGGCTTGAGTAAAAGTTAAAGAAGGTATATAAAAAGAAAGTAAGTACGCCTGGGAACACTGTACAGGTCTAGAAAAAGCTAGGCATGGCACTAACTGGTTTGGCTCAGTGGACAGAAAGGTCCCAGGTTTGATTCCAGTCAAGGGCATGTACCTTGGACTTCCCCCACCTGGTGAAAGAATTAGACCTACAAGTCCAGGAAGCGCACAGAACCCTAAACAAAAGGAATCCAAAGAGGACCACACCAAGACACATCATAATTAAAATCCCAAGAGCAAAAGACGAAGAGAGAATATTAAAAGCAGCAAGAGAAAAGCAGGTAGTTACCTATAAAGAAGCACCCATACGATCGTCAGCTGATTTCTCAATCTCAAGCAGGCCAGACGGGAATGGCAAGAAATCTTCAAGGGGATGAATAACAAGAATCTACAGCCAAAATTACTCTACCCAGCAAAGCTATCACTCAGAATTGAAGGCCAGATAAAGAGCTTCACTAATAAAAAAAAGCTAAAGGAGTTCATCACCGCCAAACCAGAATTATATGAATTGCTGAAGGGGGTTCTTTAGGAAGAGGAAGAAGATAAAGATAAAAATTATGAACAACAAATAGGTAACTATCAACAAGTAAATCTAAAAACCAAGGGAATTAAAAAATGTGATGAACAATATTAACTGGTGAATATAATAGAATCAGAGGTATAGAAGGGGAATGGACTGATGATTCTCAGGGAAAAGGGTAGTGGGGGGTGTGGGAAGAGACTGAACAAAAACTGTGCACCTATGGATGAGAACAATGGGGGGTGGGGAAAGGGCAGAGGGTGGGGTGGGAACCTGGTGGAGGGGAGCAATGGAGGGTGAAAAAAGAGAACATTTGTAATAATCTGAACAATAAATATGTATTAAAATAAAAAGACTCAACACTTAGATCTAATAAAAGAGTAATATGCAGATTGAACATCACTCCAACATACAAGATTAAGATAGCTGCCCCCATGTGGTCAAATATCCTGTCCCCATGTGGACACAAGATAGCCACCACAAGATGGCCAGCAGGGGAGGGCAGTTGTGGGTGATCAGGCAAGCAATGGAGGGCAGTTGGGAGGTACCAGGCCTGCAAGGGAGGGCAGTTGGAGGTGATCAACCCTGCAGGGGAGGGCAGTTAGGGGTGACCAGGCCGGTAGAGGAAAGAAGTTGGGGACAAACAGGCTGGGAGGGGAGCAGTTAGACATCAATCAGGCTGGCAGGCAGAAGTGATTAGGGGCAATCAGGAAGAAAGGAAGGCAGACAGGCGAGCTGTTGGGAGCCAGCAGTGGTGGATTGTGAGGAGGATGTCTGATTGTTGTTGGACATCCCTTGAGGAGTCCCAAATTGGAGAGGGTGCAGGTTGGGCTGAGACACACCATCATCCCCTCCACCCAGTTTATACATTTCATGCACTGGGCCTGTAGTTTTTAAATAATACTAGATATAACTGTAAGGAAATTTAATTAGTATTAAATAAAATATTTGCAATAAACTCCAAAAAGTTGGCAAAAATACCCTCTAATATTTTTTAAAATTCATTAATTCTAAATTAAATAATATGAACTATAGTACTCACATGCTGGTTCTGTATTAAAACATCAAGATTGGGTTCACATGGAATGCTGAAAACCACCCGAATCCTACCTTCTGTAATCACATCCCCTGAATCCTGAACCTTGGAGAGAAAAAAAAAATCACAGGTTTTAGTCTCTTACACTACATTTTAATCACTTGATTTTTCTATTTATTTGAACAGTGTTTATTATTTCTAAAATACATTAAGACCGAGGGAATGTACTGTAAATTGAAGTCATTGTACCTTGCTTTTAATGTGTTAAACAGTTGTTTTTTTTAAATTAACTTTTAATTTGCAAATAATTTCAAACTACCAAGAAGTTGTAAAACTAAAAACAGGTCAAAGAACACTTGAAATACATTTACCCAGATCAACCTGTTAACGTTTTACTCCATGTTTTAACATTAGTCAGTTGACCTAAAAATGTCCTTTGTAGAAAACGCTTTTCCCCCCCTTTAAATACCAGGTCCAGGCTATGATCAGATACTGCATTTAGTTGTCTTAACTATTTAGCTTCCTTTAATCTAGAATATATCCAGACCTTTTCTTTGCCTTTTATAACATTGATATTTTGAAGAATACAGTGCGTTCCTCAGTCCCCACACTGCACTAAAAAGGGGGGGGGGGGAGATTTACTCATTTTGGACTTATCTGATGTTTCCTTGTGATTAGGTTAAGGTTATATATTCTGTACATGAATCAATTCTATAGTTATTTTAGATGTATTAGTGCACAGGTGATGTATGCTTCTTAGAGTATCACATTGGAAGTACATGATGCTCACCTGTCATAACATTAACTTTGTTCATACCATCAGATATTGCTTAATTTCTTCACTGTGCAAATAGTTATTTATTGCCCTTGAAACTAATAAACAGTTTGTAGAAAAACACGTTCAAGATCATGAAAGTATACTACCTTATAAAAAATTTCCCATAACTTTAGCCTCCAATGATGGTTATTGCCTAATTTAATCTTTATCCTAATGGTCATAAAATGATGATTTCTACCTCCAGCACTCTCCCAAAATTTACCCTTGACATAATACTCTAAGTAAGAACTGTGCCCTTCCCTTCACTATTTACTTATTTATTACCACTATCCTATATAATAAAATAATAAGCAAATTAACATCACTCTGCTACACCCACAAGCCACACCCACCAGCCAATCAGAGCAAGTATGCAAATTAACCTAGCCAAGATGGCTGCAGCCACAGGGAGCAGGAGGGAGGCTTGGGTTTCCCAGGCGATAGAGGAAACAAAGCTTTCCACACATCCTGGCAGGCCCAGGCCTCCACTTAAGGCTACATAGTTTCAATTATAGAAGGTAAATTAATCCCCTGCCACCACAGGGCCAGCAGAAGACTTGGCTCGGCTCTAGGCTACAAAGTTTCAATTGTAGAAGATACCAGGGTCTCCACTTGGGTTGCCAGGGGGCATGGCCGGCCTGCAAACCACCACAGGCCACTCGCTCAGGCCACCCCACGCCCCAAGGGAACCCCCAGTCTGATCAGGAACACCTTTCAAGGCAAATCAGCTGGCCCCCACCCCCTGCACCAGGCCACTATCCTGTCTAATAAAAGAGTAATATGCAGATTGAACATCATTCCAACACACAAGATTAAGATAGCTGCCCCCATGTGCCAAAGATCCTGTCCCTATGTGGACACAAGAGGGCCACCACAAGCAGGGGAGGGCAGTTGGGAGGGACCAGGCCTGCAAGGGAGGGCAGTTGGGGGCGATCAGGCTAGCAGGGGATGGTAGTTGGGAGGGAACAGGCCTCAAAGGAGGGCAGTTGGGGGCGATCAACCCTGCAGGGGAGGGCAGTTAGGGGTAACCAGGCGGAAAGGAGGGTAGTTGGGGACAAACAGGCTGGCAGGGAGCAGTTAGACTTCAATCAGGCTGGCAGGGGAGTGGTTAGGGAGTGATCAGGCTGGCAGGCAGAAGCGGTTAGGGACAATCAGGAAGGCAGGCAGGTGAGTAGTTGGGAGCCAGCAGACGTGGATTGTAAAAGGATGTCCGACTGCCCGTTTAGACCTGATCCAACTGGGTCTAAATGTGATGCTTAGACATCCCTCGAGGGCTTCCAGATTGGAGAGGGTTCAGGCTAGGCTGAGGGACACCCCTGCCTCTCCCGGGCATGAATTTCATGCATTGGCCTCCAGTGAAATAATAAATTTCTATCTCCCCCACAATGATTTATAATTATTCATAACTGTACTTATTTCTATACTTTCCAGATTTGATTATTAGGAGCCTCTACAACCTGGTTTTTGTAACTATGTGATACTCTCCCATCATTTTTTTGAGCACTTCCTTACTTTCTGATACAAGAGGCTTCATGCTCATCTTATATCGACCTGCCCAAGCCCTGTAACCAGCTATTTCCCTGTGTTTTTTAGTGTGATATGGTATCATAAGTTACTAAGCACATGTGTTCACTGCTACCATAGTGGTGTTTGCTTTTCTTTTTGTGCAAATGAACCTAGAGAATATGTTATATATAGGCACATATGTATATTTGCTTGTGCCTTTTTCCATGTGAGAACTGGACCTTCCCAAAACATTAACATATTTATAAATTCATCAACCCAATAATAAATCTAAAATAACTATAGAATAGATTCATGTACACCACAATATACTACTAAAGATCAGGATTTGAATTCTTTTTTCGCCCCAAATCTGACCCCATCATGCTCAAGACTAAAGATATATAGCCAAATACCATGTTCATTAGTTAGATTAATGAATTCTTTCTTATTTTTCCACTTCAGTATTACCTTCAATTTTACACCTAAGTGAAGAAAGGGTAAAGCATTATATTAATTTCAAACCAGAGAGAAATTTAATTAGTAACAGCAACTAACTTCTCCAGCACAGCCATAATAGGGGGTTCCCAGCATAAAGACCATACTTCTAGGAGGAAACAAGTCATCCAATGTTTTGATATTGGAGAAACGGGAATCAAAAGCTCGGATGTCCTATAAAGAATGAAATATAAAAGTAAATAAATCATCACAATCAAGACTTTCATAGATTGTACACAAGTTTTTTTCCTATGGGACTATGGCTATCCTATATAATAAAAGCCCAGTGACCATATCGGCGGAATGACCAGAACTGCTCAACCAGTCACTATGAGATGCACTGACTACCTCTCGGTCCCTTTTCCTAGCCAGCAGGTTCCAATCACCAGTGATGAATGGGGACCTGGGGTGGATGGCAAGGGATGCCAAGCCAAGGTCCCCACCCCACCAATTATCCCACACAAAGAGGGTGACTGGAGGCAGGGTGGGGCTGGCGAGCAGGCAGAAATGGCTGACCTCTTGGTCTCTCCCTTGGCTGTCAGGCTTCCCATTGCTGGATGGGGAAAGGGGATCTGGGGTGTGTGGCAGCAGGGAGTAGGACTGGTGAGCAGGTGGAATGGGTCAACCTCTTGGTCCCTTCCCTGGGCCCGCAGGCTCCAATTGCCACCAATGGTGAACGGGGAATGGGGGTGGGTGGTGGGGGATGTGGATGACACCAGGCCAAGGCCCCCACCCCTCTCATCATCCCACACACAATAGGAGCCCCTTCAACCTAGTTCCTGTGACTACCAAAGCCCCCACCCCGCCAACTGTTTCACACACAGAGGGTGACCAATGGCAGGAATGGGTCCAGCAAGTGGGTGGGAACAGCCGACTTCTCAGTCCCTCCCTTAGCCGTCAGGTTTCCATTGCTGAATGGTGAACTGGGAACTGGGTGGGTGGAGGCAGGAGGCGGGGCCAGCTGCCAGCAGTTGGGGAAGATGGTCCTGATGACAGGCTAGGCCTAGGGAATATACCTGTGCACATTTCATGCATTGGGCCTCTAATACTACCTATAAATGTCAAATGTAAAGACTGTCTTCATACCAATACTGGCAGCTAAAATTTATTGACTGCTTTTAGATATTCCACACCTTTACTAGTTCATTTTATTCTTGAAACAGCCCTCTGTGGCAGAACATTATTAGCCCTACTTTTACAGATGAGGAAACTAAGGCACAAAAAGGGGGTAAATCTTGCCCAAGGTCATACAGCTTACAAAGTCAACTTAGGCATCTGTGCTCTTAATCATTACACTGTGCTTCCCCAAAATTATAGGATCACTTCATGCTTTAAAAAATGTTATCCCCTTACCACATCTAATATTACAAACACAATAGCCTTTTGCATATACTATTTAAGGAAAACATTTTCTTTTGAGAATAAAAATCTAAAAATGCAAGAGTCTAAGTTAATGCTGGGATTTTTCTTTTAGAGATTAAGTTAAAAATAAATTAGCCCTGCCCTAGTGGCTCCGTTGGTTGAGCACTGTCTCATGTACTAAAAGGTTGCATCCCTAATCAGGGTGTGTATGGTAGGTAACCAATGGATGTTTCTCTCTCATTCCACCCCACCCAACCACCTCTCTCCCTTCCTCTCTCTACGGTAAGTATGTCCTCGGTGAGGATTAAAAAAAAATTTAAAAGGACATGTTCCCAACCACAGAGTGTCTGAGGAAGCCTTTTAAAAAAAGAAAATATTTTGCAAATTATATTAAATAATAGTTTCCATTACACTTTGCTATATTACTCTTCTATTTAGAAACCAATGTTAATATGATAGATATAAAGTCTGTCTTTTACAGTGTGCAATAGTGTATAGTAAAATATAATTGAGACCTGATGGAGATTACCTTGACAACAGCTTGATAAACAAAAGGAAGAACTTGTTTTGACCACTGTTTCTCTAGATGAACTTCACCATTTTGATTTATTTGATATTTATGACCTGTGAGTAACTGAGCATATACAACTGCAGACGTTTCATTTATTATTATTCCTTTTCTTCTCAGATAGCTAAAAGAAAGAATAAAAAAGAAATATAGATATATGTGAGTGTGTATAGTATGACAATCATCCTTCAAACCATCAATTCATATTCAAATGCTTAAATAAATTTTAAATAAACATGTTAATAATTCTAAGTATCTAGCTTAAGAATTTTATGTGATATGTTAATCAATAAAATTAAATTTAAAAAGTTTTGCATTTGTTTTTTTACTCTATGGATGTGAAATTAATTGAGAAGTCACAGAATTATAAGAAACTCCTGTGATCCTTACCCCAGGAAGAGAAAAGAAGTGTTGGAAAAGTAGAGAAATTGGAACACATATAGTGCCAGTAGGAATGTAAAATGGTGCAGTCACTGTATAAAACAGTTGGGCAGTTCCTCAGAGTTAAACATAAAATTGCCATATAGTTCAGCAATTCCACTTCTAGGTATATACCCTAAGAACTAGAAACAGATACTTAAATATCTGTATATACAAAAGCCAGTGATTGGAATGCCGTAATGATTGGAATGACTGGTGATGCCCATTGCTGCCAGTGAAACCCCCAATCGGCAGGTGGGGCCAGCTGGCCAATCTCCCAAGGCCCCTGCCCCTTGTTGCTGCACCCCTTATTGGCCTCTCCCACTCTGATAGGGGGGAGGGCCTGGTTGTCAACCACCCCTCCCCTGCGGCCCTTCCCACAGACTGGCACTATCCCTGATTGCTGCCCCTACCCAAATAGGGGGCAGGCCAGCTGGCCAACTTCCTGCAGCCCCACCCCTGATGGGCCACCATCACCCCAGTCGGACTGCGGCTCCTCCCCCCAGCCAGCTCTGCCCCTGATCGGCCCCCCACACCAATTGGGGTGGGGCTGGCCAGCCAACCTCCCACAGACCCTCCCCAAGCCCCGTTCGGGGGCAGGGCTGGTTGGCCAATCACCCATAGCCCCTCTCCCCAGCTGGCTGGGCCCTGATTAGACCCCCATCAGGGTGAGATGGCTGGCCAATCACCTGCCATCTCCTCCTCCCAACAAGCCCAGCCCCGATCCACTGATTAGGGCTGGGCTGGCTGGACCCCACCCATGCAGAAATTTGTGCACTGGGTCTCTATTTTATAAATAGAGGCCTGGTGCATGACAATTCATGAACTGGAAGGGAGGTCCCTCAGCCTAGCCTGTCCCCTCTCACAGTCCAGGAACCCTCAGGGGCAGAAGGTGACCAGGCAATAAGGGAAGGGCGACACCCCCATCACACCTCTGCTGCTGCCACTGCCAGCAGCGCAAGGCTTAGCCAGCCCTGGTTACCTGAGCCTTGGGCAGCACTGGGCAGCTGGGAAGCCACCATCTGAGGCTTGCCTGTGCCTTGGACCAGCCCTGGGTGGCTGGGCAGCTGCAACCTGATGCTTGCCTGTACCTTGGCCCTGGGCAGCTGGGGGTCTTAGGGGACAGGGGACTCCAGAGGCAGTTGTGTGCAAGGGTGGGCCAGTTCATGCCATGTGCCTGCTGCCCTTGTGGGGCTGAGGGGATTGGGCACCACTATCTTGTGGTTGTGGGTGCCGCCATCTTTGAGGGTGTGGCAGTCAGTTAGCATATTCCCTCTTTATTAGGTAGGATACTCACAGTAATACTACTAACAAAAGCAAAAGAGTAGAAATAACCCAAATCTCTACCAACAGATAAATGGCTAAACAAAAGGTAGTATATCCATACAATGGAATATTCAGCTATAAAAAGAAATGAGTACTGCTACATACTACAATGTATATTAATTTCAAAAACATGCTAAATAAAACAAGCCAGACAACAAAGGTTACATATATGACTACATTTATATGAAACATTCAGAATAGGTAAATGCAGACAGACAAAAGGTTGACAGAGGCATTCATTGGGCCTTTTCTTTCTTATTTTTTTTTGTGTGTGTGTTTTTTTCCCAGTCAAAATATATTTATCCTGTTCTTACTTGGGTTGAATGGTTATACAATTATTGTGATCCAGATGTACCTTTCTCATGTATTATATTTTAAATACCCAAAACTTTATATAAAACCTACAACCTTGTTTCTCACAATTCAAACTATAAAACCTAGGATCAAATCTTCTGTGCTTTGAATAACTTCTCTCCTTGACCATGATGTTATAGATATGACAAAACTAGCCCCACATAGAAGTTTTGAAGGGGGGGGGAAATTGCCTAACAGAAACTTTATGTCTTCTGTGGCTAACTGTCTAAGAGCCTTCCTTAAAAGTGAAGATGGAATACAAAAATACAGACTTGTACAATTATTGTATGACTGCTGGGAAAGTTTTATTACTACCTTAGTGCTTACACTAAGAGCTACAACTTGCAACTCCTGAGCATTGTAATTTTCAAAGATGTTAAGGATGTAAACATTATGCTGAAACTGATGGCAGCAGCGACAAGAGAAGCCTGAGTGCTCACTCTAAGGTGTAGAACCATGCTGAGGATAGACACCAACATGCACTTCTGCTAAGGCTCGCAGGGTGCCCTCACGATCATTTTAAAGCACAGCCTTGGGAAGATTACAGAACAGGGCATCCATCCATAATTCTCAGGAATTTGCTCAGGCTGAATCTGGCAAGCAGGAAAGGAGCTGTAGCCATGACAGCAACATTAGGATTTGCAAGGCAGTCTGGTACAATTTAATTTTGTTTACATCGTTGTCTTCATTAGGAAAGGTTTAGTGGTTCACAAGAATGTTCTCCACCAGGAACCGGGCTGGTTCCCCTATGTTTGCAGAGGTTTCAACTATACATTGAAGCCACATTCATTGCAGAACTGGTCCATCTGGGCAGGAATATGGCGACCTTCCTTTTTCTGGTCACTTTTATTAGCTAAGAGAACAGCAGAAATAGGGCCACCACTTGGAAGATGGATTTTACTGTTCAGATTATGTTTTCATTTTAAGAGGACCTCAAATGTGGAACCTCTGATATATCAAAGACTATAAAAGCATCAACAGCTTCTTTATAGTATACTCGGATCATGTTGCCAAACCGCTCCTGCCCCGCGATGTCCCACAGCTGCAGTGCACCAGCGTCCCGCTGTCACAGTTGAGGACCTTGAGCCTGAAATCCACTCTGACAATGTCCCAGTAGTGCTGAGAGAAGAGCTGGTGGATATAGCGCTTGATGATGCTGGTCTTGCCACACCCAGCTGGCTGATGACTAGCTCCTTGAAGGGATGCTCACGGATCTCAGACCCAGATGCCTGCCATCAGCTCCTGGCCCCACTCCTGCTGATGGCTGCTGCCCTGCGCCCAGCCCCTGCCAGCAGTTGAAACTTCCCCGAGGCCACCCATGATGATGCCTGATCGGTCACAGGACCTGGAACCAGCAGCCCCTCATAGCCCGTGAGGGGTGGAATCATTGGGCCTTTTCAATCTAAAGTAGGGGTCAGCAACTACAGCCCTGGGGAAAATCAAGACCTATTCCTGTAAATAAAATTTCACTGAAACATAGTCATTCATTTATTTACTATATACATGACGGCTCCCCCCACCTTTTTTTTTAAACACTGATATTTTTATCAACAAGATTTCTATTAGCTGTAAAAACATACAGTAGCATTTGAAACTACAAAAATACATATATCCACATGAAAATGCTTTAATTTATAGCGGCTTCACAATATAGCAGCAACAATTTAAAATACATTGGAGGTTTTATTTTATTTTTTAAAATATATTTTATTGATTTTTTTACAGAGAGGAATGAAGAGGGATAGAGAGAAACATCGATGAGAGAGAAACATTGGTCAGCTACCTCCTGCACACCCCCTACTGGGGATGTGACTGCAACCAAGGTAGCATGGCCTTGATCAGAATCGAACCTGGGACTCTTCAGTCTGTAGGCCAAGACACAGTCTGAGCCAAACCCGTTAGGGCCAAATTGGAGATTTTATATAACCTTTGACATTTTAATTATGATGTGTCTTGGTGTGGGCCTCTTTGGGTTCATGATGTTTGGGATTCTCTGTGATTCTTAGGAATGTAAATTTATTTCCATTACTAGATTAGAAAAATTTTCAATCATTATTTCTTCAAAAGTTTCCAATTCCTTACACTTTCTCTTCTTATGTTACACCATGATGCAAACGTTGGTGCTGATGTTGTCTCAATGGCCCCTTACACTATCCTTATTTTTCTGGATTGTTTTATTTTTTCTTTTTAAATATATTTTGATTTTTTACAGAGAAGAAGAGAGAGGGATAGAGAGTTAGAAACATTGATGAGAGAGAAACATCGATCAGCTGCCTCTTGCACACCCCCCACTGGGGATGTGCCCACAACCAAGGTACATGCCCTTGACCGGAATCGAACCCGGGACCTTTCAGTACACTGGCCAACGCTCTATACACTGAGCCAAACCGGTTTCGGCTTGTTTTCTTTTTGCTCTTCTGTTTGGGTGTGCTCCACTACATTATCTCACAAATTGCTGATGCAATTCTCTGCTTCATCTAATCTACTATTGATTTTTTCTAATGTAATCCTCATTTGTTATTGTAAAATTAATTTATGACCAGTTCTTTTTTATGTTTTTCATCTCCATTTCTATCTCTTTGTTGAAGTTCTTACTGAGGTCATTGAGCACCTTTATAACCAGTGTTTCAAACTCTGTATCTGGTAAATTGCTTATATCCATTTAGTTTTTTTTTTTAGTTTTGTTCTGTTCTGTAATTTGGGATATGCCTCTTTGTCTCCGCTTTTAGGCTGCCTCCCTGTGATTGTTTCTATGTGTTAAGTAGAGCTGGTACTTCTCCCAGTCTTGGTAGAGTGAATGGCTTTATGTAGTAGGTATCCTTGATTGCTGTTGGCTTGTCAGTGGGAGGGATTAACCCTGAGGCTTATTGGTTTTGAGGACTGCCCACAACTACAGTGTATTAGTTCTGGGGCCTGTGCTCTACCCAAGGACACTAGTATGAGCTACAAAGAAATCTACAGATGGTTGCCACTTGTGCTGGGCTTGGAGGTGTCTGGAAGGGGCTAAGCTATGAATTTAGACCA